ATATCGTCGCAAATCAATAGCTAGTAAAGAGTCGACCCGTGGATCAGATAAGAGACTCATCAGTGATGCCGAGTATAAACACTTTGAGGAGAGATTAGACCACAACTCGAGACTCATTGATGCAAATAATGAACTGATTTATGGTTTGTGGAGGAATTCACTCTTTACTCGCATATCACCGACAGTCACATCCCGGCGCCGAAGACACGCCATGAGAACCGCTGCCCTCTTTGGCCCCAAACTATGCGTTGATCTCTCGTTTGATGGACTGATGACTAGATTTGAGACCAGAAGAGTGGTTCAGGAGTTGAGACAAATCGTGAGATCAAACATCACTGACACGAAAGAACTGTTTGATTTGAATGTCTATAACCTAAGACCCGATAGCTTTGCGGATCAACTCTTGAGGTCTATCACCGATAGACCACTCAGTGATAGTTATGTGGGTCTGTACTCCGACTCATACCTAAACCGCTTCAGCCGGGAATCAGTGGTGTATTTAACTCCAGATGCGGATCAAGTGATGACAACTTTGATGGACATATGGTTTACATAATCGGTGGTATTGTTGATAAATATAATCCGAAGCGATTATCACTAGAAATAGCTAATAATCAACGCATAGTTTCCATGAGATTACCCATTGATTCCCAACTGTATTACTGATGGATATGTCTTATCTAATACCCTGTATTTGCCACAAGTTTTCCATATCTTAAATATAATGAAAGATAACGATAATTGGGAACCGATTCTCGAGCAGACAATCGCGAAGTGGTATCGAAATCGGAGTAAAATTATTGCATAAACTTATGGAAAAATATTTATTATCTTTTTATTAAATTAAATAAAAATCTGTTAGTTTCAACAAAATGCACTAAATATGAGTGTAAAACTTATCGAGATAAATTTAATTATCGCATCGATAAAATTGTTATAAATATGATATAAAATATATATAACTTTCAGTACATCTGTTCAGTGATTATCGAGAATTATATACAAAAAGACTTTTCTATAAACTCTTCCGTTTTCTGCGAAAACCACCGAAAATATCAGATAATTATAAAACAATTTTGTTTTTGTCAATACATTATGCGATACTCCACATAGTCTAGAAAACTATCTCAAGATATATACCATGATACAATATCTCTTACGATAAACAAAAAACAAATTGAGATTCCGATATAGTTTTAAACAACAAATTCATTATTAACTTAACCTCCAGTGGTTTTCCGGCTCAACAAACAACACAAAACACTCGCAAACTTAACAAATAAACACTACTCGAGTACATTTTGGCCACTTTTCGTATGATTATCATCACAATAGTAGGTCTCATATGACCATAAAGTCCAGGTGACCACTGCAAACGTGGCCCCATTGGTAGGGAAAGCCCGTACGAGCGTAGGGGTCATTCCGCGTACAAACACATTGACCCCTTCCTGGGACAGGGAGTGTCGGGCGCAGTGTCTCATCGATCTATAGGTCGTGTCCGCCTGTATGCGAGACTTAATCACATCCAGCGGATAGCTGGCCAGCCATGAGACGGCGCCGGCTGTTCCCCCGGCCATCAGTAGTAATAGAGTGGACGGGGAGTCGGACTTCTTAGACACAGACATCTTGAGTAGAAGTTCATAGCACGCGAAATACATGGCAAACGCCGGCGCATCCCTGGCCAGAGTCGCACCGTAACCCCTATAGAGGGCTCGTAGGCCTCCCTCTTTGCGGATAGTCTCTCGCAGGCATGTCATGACTGGTTGTGCTCTGAGTTGGGCCCGGGTTTTGATGAGCTCAATGGGGCAACTGATGAGCGTTTGGGACATACCGGCCGCACAGCCGGCGCCCGCTTGCCATAGTAGGCTGGGCTCGTCCATGCGTTTGATGAGCGATCCGTAGACGCCAAACACGATGGCGTTGATGGCTGTGAGGCCTGTCAGCGGAGCGCATATACCCCGGTATAATGAGAAAACCTATAGTCGTGTGTTTGCCGTTCGTTACCATTAAATGATTTATTAGACAAAACATTTGTGGCATATTTACCGAATGGTCGGCCAATACTGACTTCATGGACAGCCGTTTAGCACTGGTCTGCATCACCACTTTGATGGTGTCCAACGGGTGGCCCACCAGCACTCCGGCCGCACCTGAAAAAGTGGATACACTTATAGCCAGTGGTCTAACAGGTATGGTAGTCCAGGAATGCCTACCTCCAACACAACCAGCGATAAAATCTATAGGACTTGCCATCGGTTCCGATCACATCAACATCCATAACAACTCATTAAACTCATCCAAACCTTTCTCTCTGTGTGTTAGCAAAAGGTTTATCAGAGAAATGACACACAACCAGCGATAAAATCTATAGGACTTGCCATCGGTTCCGATCACATCAACATCCATAACAACTCATTAAACTCATCCAAACCTTTCTCTCTGTGTGTTAGCAAAAGGTTTATCAGAGAAATGACACCAATTATGGAAAGACTTGAGAGAAAAAAACTTAAGATTCCTTTAATTGTGAAATATATAAGTTTTTTAATGTGTAGTCAGTATTGGTTTGCAATTGGGTTTCAGGCGCCCAACCACTCATGTGCTGTAGTTTTCTGTGCTTCAGGCGATTTGCGACAACTTTTTTAGCGTCGAAATAGTTTTGTCGATAAGAGGTCTCAAGACATCCGAAGGATAGACTACATCGACAACTGGCAGACCCCCTCTTTAATCACGCGTCAGTCACACACTCGTTGCCTATGTTTCGCTACTTTTCAATAATTTATACAAATAATTATTTCCAATCAAATAGTTTTCAATGTAAATGAGAATTCAATTCAAATTTTTTATTCATAATAAATATCTGAACGCAGAATATAACGATTCATTAATTTAAATGTTTCTCTATTTAAATACAAATCTTTTTCATTTATATTTATATGTGATTTAAATGCGATGAATGGAAAAATATTTCACTTTAAAAACAAGTTTTTCATAAATAAAAAATGTTTGTGAGATAAAAAACAAATTCTTGTCCTTAATTGACATTTTTTAAAAAAGTTGTCATTTTTATATATTTATAAACAGAATATCTACTAATAATTACAATGTATTTATAACTATAATCAGTGAGAATGTCGAGTATTATAACAATTTAAATAACAAATACTAATAATAGAAAATGTAAAAAAACTAATTGAATACAAAAATCAGTTTCATTCAGTTCTCATCGTCTGAATCACTCACGAGAATCACATCCTCTGTGCCGTAGAGTTGATCCCAAACGCTCTGACCTCCGGACACGTGCTGTTGGGACGGCTGTCCACTCGCCTCATCTTTCACTTCATTTTTGGTCTCATTCTTGACTTCACTCTTGATCCCTGCCTTAACCTCCGTTTTCACTTCAGTCTTCACTACAGGCTTAATATCTTTCTTATCCTCGCGTTTTACCTCATCCTTGACCTCATCCCTGGCCTCAACCTCACCGTCACACTCATCCACGGGTTCCCTCTTCACGTGCACACAACGGCTCAGATTAATGCGAATCTCTTTGTGGATATCAAACCTGTCTCTCAGCTGATCCTCGTATAAGATATCCATTTCCGTCAGGAGTTGCATGAAAAACGACTCAATCATATCGCTGGCCATCACCCGGATCTCCGTGTAGTGGCGCTCAATGAGTCTCAACTGTTCGCGTTTCATATCATTGTATGCCTTCTGACCCCTGAATGAGATGTTGTAGAAGTTCTCGCAGTCCGTGAAGTGAACGGTAACCAAATGTTTCATTAAAATGTACGGATTGTTGGGAAAGGCGTTGTTTTCGGTGTTCATGTCTGTGCAGAGGTCGCACCGCATTGGCAGCCAATGCAAGTGTTTGCAAATGTGAAGCTTAGCCCTCCATAAGGCGTCGATCGGGGCGGGGGTCAGACCGCATACATGCGCCGCTTTCACACATATGGGAC